CAACCACAGCCACAACCACAACCACAACCATAACCAACAACAACAACAACAACAAGAACAAAAACAAGAACAAAAACAATAGCAATAACAGGAACAAAAACAATAACAAGAACAACAACAACAACAATCATAATAACAAGAATAAGAAGTGCTAATAAAAAACAAGAGCACAAACAACTATAACAACTTTAATAACAAGAACAAAAACGAAAACCAGAACAAGAGAAATAATAGCAAGTTCTTGGAAGATCTGGATGCTACCCAAGAAGATCTTGTACTGAACTTTCAATCATCTTGTATGATTTTGGTTGCTATGGAGTAAGACTTTATCCTTTACATTCAATCATCTTGAGTGTTACGGTGTAAGATCGTGCCCTTGACATTCAATCATCTTGGACGCTGCGCTCGAAGCGCTTGTCCTTAACTTTGAACATCTTGGATGATATGCTCTAAAACCTTGTCCTTGAATTACAAACATCTTGGATGCTTCGCTGTAAGATCTTACCCTTAATTTTCAATCACCTTTGATGCTACGGTGTAAGATCGTGCCCTGAACTTTCAATCCTCTTGAATGCTACTGTGTAAGCCTTGTCCTTGACTTGCAAACATGTTGGATGATACGCTGTAAGGGGGTGTTGGATGGTACGCTGTAAGCTGTTGTCCTTAGCCTTCAAACATCTTGGATGCAAGCATGTAAGATCTTGTCCATAAATTACAAACATCATTGGTGCTTCGGCGTAAGATCTTGTGCTTTCAAACATCTTGGGCGCTACAGAGTCAGAGCTTGTCCTTAACTTTCGATCATCCTTGATGCTACGCTGTCAGATCGCAGCCTGATCTTGCAATCATCTGGGATGCTACCATGTAAGATTTTGTCCTTGACTTGCAAATCTTTGTTGCTACGAAGCAAGATCTTGTCCTTAACCTTCAAACATGTCGGATGCTACGCTCCAAGATTCTGTTTGTCTTGTCCCTAACCCTCAAACATGTTGGATGATACGCTGTAAGTTCTTGTCCTTGACGAACAAGAACAAGAACCAGAACAAGAGAAAGAACCATAACCACAAGATTAGAAACAAGAACCACAACAACAGCAGCAGCAACAACAAGAACAAAAATAACAATAACAAAACACAATAGTTAAACAACAAGAGCAAGAACAGCGATAACAACATTAACAACAAGAACACGAACGAAAACGAGAACAAGATAAATAATAACAAGTTCTTGGAAGATCTGGATGCTGCCCAAGAAGATCTTGTACTGAACTCTCAAGCATCTTGTATGATTTTGGTTGCTATGGAGTAAGACTTTGTCCTTAACTTTCAATCATCTTGGGTGCTACGGTGTAAGATCGTGCCCTTGACATTCAATCATCTTGGACGCTACGCTCGAAGAGCTTGTCCTTAACTTTGAACATCTTGGAAGCTATGCCCTAAGACCTTGTTCTTGAATTACAAACATCTTGAATCTGGGATGCCACGCTGTAAGACCTTGCCCTTAATCTTCAAACACCTTTGATGCTACGGTGTCAGGTCTTGTCCTTAAGTTCTAAACATGCTTGATGCTACTTTGCAAGATCCTCTCCTTAACTTTCCAGCATCTTGGATGTTACGGTGCAAGATTCTGTCCTTAGCTTTCAAACATGTTTGATGCTATGCTGAAAGGCCTTGTCCTTAACTTTCAATCATTATGGATTGTACGGTGTAAGATCTTGTCCTTAACTTTCAACCATCTTGGAAAACACGCTGTAAGACCTGTCCTTAACTTTCAATCATCTTGGGTGCTACGCTGTCAGGTCTTGTCCCCAACCTTCAGACATGTTGGATGATACGCTGCAAGTTCTCGTCCTTGCCTTACAAAAACAAAAACCGCAACAGCAAAAACAAGATTAAGACTCTGGTCAAGATGGAGATTTTTCCTTCAACCAATCTATTGATGGTCGGCTTCAAAACTCCGCAGAGCCTGGTTTATAAGATCTGATATAGGTATGACGATGGAATTCAAACCTCCACCAGTTAGAATATACCCTTTTCATCAATGATGACATGCTCAATAAGCAAAGTTATAAGTTATAACACACTCAAAGATGTTATGACCCGCGAAACGGCGACTTACAAACCACGCTTGTTAATCACCTACTAAGGTAAACCATCATTAAACAACCCACAAAAATTACTAAACAGGTAGTCGTAAGTTCGCTGGCTGCAGGTGAGCGCTGGCCCTCAAATACAAACAATCTGGCCCTTTGTTTTTTCTCCGAAACAGCTTTTATACCTATGTTTCAATCGGTGCTTGAAAAAAAGTAAAATCTACAAAATCACTTTTTTTCCAAGATGGCATGTCTCAAAGAGCCGCAAAGTGCCAAAGCGTCACAGAGCCGCGAAGTCTCAAAGCGCCAAGAAGCGCCAAAGCGTCAAAGAGCCGCAAAGCGCCAAAGGGCCAAGAGGCACCAAAGCATCAAGAGCGCCAAGCGCCAAAGCGCCAAAGCGCCAAAGCGCCAAAGCGTCAAAGAGCCGCAAAGCGCCAAAGGGCCAAGAGGCACCAAAGCATCAAGAGCGCCAAGCGCCAAAGCGCCAAAGCGCCAAAGCGCCAAAGCGCCAAAGCGCCAAAGCGCCAAGCGCCAAAGCGCCAAAGCATCCAAGCGTTCAGGCTTTGAGTCTTTGAGGCTTTGAGGCGTCGGAAAAGCGTCAAGAAGCGCCAAAGTGTGCAAGAACCGCCAAGCGCCAAAGCGCTAAAGCGCCACAGCATCCAAGTGTTCAGGCTTTGAGGCTTTGAGGCTTTGAGGCGTCGGAAAAGCGTCAAGAAGCGCCAAAGCCTGAAAGAGCCGCCAAGCGCCAAAGCGCCAAAGCATCCAAGCGTTCAGGCTTTGAGGCTTTGAGGCTTTGAAGCGTGAGGCGCCAAAGAGGCTTTGCAGCTTTGAGGCTTTGAAGCGTGAGGCGCCAAAGAGGCTTTGCAGCTTTGAGGCTTTGAGGCGTGAGGCGCCAGAGAGGCTTTGGAGCTTTGAGGCTTTGAGGCGTGAGGCGCCAAAGAGGCTTTGCAGCTTTGAGGCGTGAAGCGCCAAAGAGGCTTTGCAGCTTTGAGGCTTGGCAAACCTTAGCGGGCCTGATCCCCCATACTCTGAGAGAAACATTGAAACGAAAGAAGGACTTCGATTGAAAGCCAGGAGGAGTCTAACGAAAGAGAGAGGTTGCAAACGAATGTGAGGAGGCGAACGAAACAAGACAGGGCTTGAACGAAAGAGGACAGGCTCTGACGGAAGAGGACAGACTCTGACGGAAGAAGGTAGGCTTCAACGGAAGAGGATAGACCCGAACGGAAGACTCTTAGCGGAAGACTCTTGTAACGGAAAGGATGGATCCGAACGGAACAGGACAGGCCGCTAGCCTAGCAGAAGAGAATAGACTCTAACGATCCCCCTTGGAATTTTTTAGGGGTACCTGTCCAACGTCAACGTTTGCGATTTTATCGTGGACGTTGGTGTCAGCAATTCTATAGAGATTTCATGTTGAAAACAGCATTGGGTACTAGTAAGCTAAGAGTCTTGTCACATCTGCGAGGGAACATCTACCAACAAGGCTATCAGATAAACATCATCATCATCATCATCATCAGCATCAGCATCATCATCATCATCATCATCATCATTTGAGCCACGAAAAAAAACATCAATGTATTGTTTATGTAAGGGAGTTATACTACATCACTTTCGCGAAACAGAAATGCTGGGTCGCGAAAGATCGCGAAAGTAATTTGCTTCGCGAAAGGTCGCGAAAGAGAAGTTTAAGATATTTCAAATTGTTTGTTTTGTTCAAAATGGCATGTCTTAGAGACGTTTCGAAGCTGACAGGCAACAAGAGGCTGAGAGGTGTCAAGAAGCTTAGAAGCGTTTAGAGGCTTAGAGGCGTTTAGAGGCTTCGAGGCGTTTAGAGGCTTAGAGGCGTTTAGAGGCTTAGAGGCGTTTAGAGGCTTAGAGGCGTTTAGAGGCGTTTAGAGGCTTAGAGGCTTAGAGGCGTTTAGAGGCTTAGAGGCTTAGAGGCGTTTAGAGGCTTAGAGGCGTTTAGAGGCTTAGAGGCGTTTAGAGGCTTAGAGGCGTTTAGAGGCTTAGAGGCGTTTAGAGGCTTAGAGGCGTTTAGAGGCTTAGAGGCGTTTAGAGGCTTAGAGGCGTTTAGAGGCTTAGAGGCGTAGAGGCTTAGAGGCGTTTAGAGGCGTTTAGAGGCTTAGAGGCTTAGAGGCGTTTAGAGGCTTAGAGGCGTTAGAGGCTTAGAGGCGTTTAGAGGCTTAGAGGCGTTTAGAGGCTTAGAGGCGTTTAGAGGCTTAGAGGCGTTTAGAGGCTTAGAGGCTTAGAGGCTTAGAGGCGTTTAGAGGCATTTAGAGGCTTAGAGGCTTAGAGGCGTTTAGAGGCGTTTAGAGGCTTAGAGGCTTAGAGGCGTTTAGAGGCTTAGAGGCTTAGAGGCGTTTAGAGGCTTAGAGGCTTAGAGGCGTTTAGAGGCTTAGAGGCTTACGGGCTGCCTCCGGACATTAGAGACTTAGAGGCTTAGAGGCTTACAGGCTGCCTCCGGACATTAGAGGCTTAGAGGCTTACAGGCTGCCTCCAGACATTAGAGGCTTAGAGGCTTACAGGCTGCCTCCAGACATTAGAGGCTTAGAGGCTGGCGACGAACTGGAACCCCCCCTCCCGCTACGATGTGATGGAAGGGAAGCACCCCAAAAGACACTAGTTCATCTAGTTCCATCGGGGATCAAGTACCTCGGGTCACAGTACACCTGCTCTCTCGGTTGTTACATGTTGTCACACTGATTCTGCCGTACTTCTAGCACCCTTCGAGTAAAGGTTAAACATGGTTAAACACACTCGTTTTGTTGCTACAGTATGCTAGTCAATGCTTCATGCATGCTATGCTTTACAGTGCTCTATTGGCTGTGGCTATCACGTAAAACGGCTGTCTGCCCAGAGGTCTTGCCTGGTTTTTTTTCTGCTTCTGACATGCTTTTCTGAGGATGTGGGTGAGACTGGTGGAACACCTGATGTGCACTCGGGCAGCAGGTTGCAGCTTTCTGGGTGCAACAAGACTAGTTATATGTTGAAAAATGTTGAAAAGTTGAACAATGACTGTTGGTTGAAGGTGTGGAAGGTGTGGCGGTTCTTTCCTGCCTAAAATGGCACAGCCACGTGGACCGATGCAAGGGATTGATCGGGGAGAAAAAACCGCAGTCCGCAGCCAAGGCAACAAGCAACTCGGCAGGGGACAGCTTGGACGCCGGCAACCGTGGACTGGTGCAGGTAGGATTCCTGTAGGATATGCAAAAATGATCAAACATGTGTGTTCATTTTATTTTAAGCTTAAACTGTGTTTTTTTGGTGATTAGTCGGCATTTGTCAGTTTTGCATTGCAGACATTTTTTTTTAAAGATGTTTTGCGCTCATTGCCATTCACAGCATGACACGTCGCATGCACATGGGATGGTGACAGAACATGTAATTACTGTAAGATCATTTTTTGATTTTCTCAGCTGAATGCAGCCTTAAGCCATTGAGCCTGTGGATTGTTTCTGATTTTCAGTTTTGCCCCCTTCCGTTCCGTTGGCAGGTGGATTTTCCTCATATTGGACGATCCTGAGCATTTCATCATCGGCAAAGTTACTTGGAATCTAGGGGACGATGCTTGCGTGAAGGTGCTGTAGGTGTCAAAGCTGGTTGGAGTACGTGCTTGGGCACCTCAGGATGTGTTGCACATGTCAGGGCAAGAAACGGAAGGTTGTTGAACTACAGTTCATCGTTGCAGAGAGATCAGAGCACAGTGTTCAATCTTTGGAACAATCCTTTAACATGCAACTTGAGCTGGAGGTTTGCACAGGTACTTACAGGCGTTTGACAAAGCGGAAGATGTTGCAGGATGTGGCGTGTGTTTGGTGATTTCCGCTTGTGCTATGACATCATTTGTGGTTTGGATCGTGGCTCCAAAGTGACGAATGTGACAAACAAAATATTGTTTAAAGGAAAGGTTCTTTGTGTGAACTTGGGGTTGAACAGCAAGAATTGGGAGAGAACCCTCTCCCCTTTGTTGCCCTTTGCCGAGTCCCAAATGCTTTCTAAACCTGTCTACACCTGAGGTTATCTCAGCTTTCATCATACTCACCATTTTGGTCAGCACAACCACTTTCATCCTGGAGTCACTTGGGCAGTAAGTCTCATTGCCAAAATTGCTGCCAGTTTTTGAGCTTCAAATTGCTGGAGCCTGCGCATTGACCGGGTCCCAGGTCCATGCCCAGCTTTCAGCATCGACCTGCGCTTTGTGAAGAGTTGTTGCTGGCAGGGCAGCCAATCACCAAAATCGCTTGCGAACCAGCACCCTGGCCGCAGGAAGCCTGGAATGGAAGCGGGTGCATCATGTGGGGATTCAGCAGATTGACTCAGATTGACTCAGATTGACTCATCAATCAGCTGAATCGAGTCATAAACCGGAGTTTTTGAATGGAAATATTCACAATTACTGTAGCTGTCAGAGGCCTTGTCACCATTGATACTTCACTAATTGAAATCAATATGATCCAGTGTAGAAAGCGCAAGTGGTTGCAATTTTAATCAATCATGCCAAGGTGCCAGATGAAAGTTTCTTCTACTTGGAAATAGCCGCTTGGCTTCGAAATGCAAAGCGCCCTCCATCAATTCAGTTGCCTTCTAAGATTTGCAGCCTGTTCAGCTTCATTTTTAAGAACTCACCCTCTGAAGGTGTGCATTGCCATCTTCACAATCGAATATTTGGCTGGGACCTCAATGGTTTCACATCTGTCGATGTCTAACTTTCCTCAAAGTTCTGGTGACTCGAGCCCTGAGCATGACCAGACACATGTACATGAGCGATGGTTTCTCCAAATCATCATGTCAGCAGGATGTTGATATGTATATTATATAGGTTATTGATTGCTACATGCAAGTACACGCTTTGATACACTGGATTCTGCTTTTATTATAGTTAAAGAAATCTTATTATAGTAATAAAAAACCGTGTTATTGTTGTATTTATAGCTATCATCTATCATCATCTATTGTTGGATTTACTATAAACCATTATAATCATAGATAATCTTACCATAACCATTTATGTTGGATCATTATAACCATTTACTATAAACCATTATAATCATAGATGATCTTAAATTATAACCATAATCATAGATTTACTATAAACCATTATAACCATTATTTCCCCAATGATCATTGTTATGCCATTCGCAGGCGCGGCTCCTCACGTGCCACACGGAGCCGAACTTCGGCGGCAGCGCAGTGGGGCGGACCCTTCGCTATGCCAGGTGGGGCTCGGGAGGAGTTACTGATCTGTAGTGGATGATATGTAGATTTACATAGATTTACTATAAACCAAATATGGGTATGGATCAATACCTATTAATACCATTTTTAGGGAGATGAACATCCATTTACCAGCTATTTTGATGTTCACCAGGGGTACAAGGTTTTGACACACTGCCATATGTGATACCATCTGGTTATTTAACATAGCCATGGAAAATCACCAGTTTTAACAGGTAAACCCAGTTGTTCACCATCTATTTCTATGGGCCATCTATACCATGGAGAAATGTTAAATAACCAGAGGGTGTGTAGATTTACTATAAACCAAATATGATCATCATCATAATCATAATCTATCCACATATCATCCATAAAATATATGATTTATGTAGTTTATGTAGTGGATGATTTACTCTAATCCATGATAATCTGGGTAAAAGAAGAATAAACCATCCCCCAAATCACATCAAATCACCATAAATAGGTGGTATATATCATTCCCGGTCGTGGGTTGTTTATTTTTGTGTTACCCACATGGGACACCATTAGGAAGCAAAATGTCAGAATCTGGATGATGTTTAGATGGATGAGATCATAGCAGTCGGATGATATTAGATACAGATTGATCATAGCATGGCTGGATGGATAGATATGATGCATCTCAGAAAGCAAGTTGATGCAAGACTATTGTGTTGGACATGATTGTGACATGAACAGTGGAAAGTGTTGGGTACCCTCCAGTAAATTAACATAGACCCTGAAAATCACCCATGTTTAATGGAACTAGTCTTCCAACCCCTATCTGCCAGGGTCTATGTTAATTTACCAGAGGGTAACTTGGAATCTGGCGGCGGCTATTGAGCAAAATAATGTTGCACGCTTCCATGATCTTCCATGTCATGTCACACCACTGGATACCTGGCAGGACGCCTTTGAATATCATTGACATCCTGGTGGCTGGGCACATGAAAAGATGACCAGAGAGATGCAGCGTACTTCACTGCTGCATTTACTACAGCGAAGCTTTGTGTCAGCATCTGCTTCCACATTGGTCACTCCAAAGATGGCGGATTCCAAGGCGGTTGCTCCTTTTTACTTGGGCTTTTTGCTTGGCAATTCGGTGAGCTCTTTGCGCGTGTTGCGGCTCTTCCGGGCTTGGCTCTCAGACCCTGAGTTCTTTTTATGTCCTTGCTGCAGCCTTGCTTCAATTGTATTCAACTAGATTGGGACATATTGGAACATATTGGAACATGAACTTGCGGATACTTGTTTTATTTCCGGATTATATATATATATATATGTGTGTGTGTGTACGTATGTATGGTCTGATATATACCCATATTTCCGGATACTTCTGCATGTAGGAGGCTTCTTTGGACTGCCATAGTCCAAAGCTTGCAACTTCATCTCAGGTGGTGAGACTTTTCAAGTTGGCAAAGCACCATGGAGGCCTGAGAGACCTATTTTGAATCCTTGCAACATGTGGCAAAATCAAGCCGTAGCTCCTGTGCAGGCATTCGGCTGATTCTCGAAGCCATGGCCAATAGTGGCTTTACTCTGGCAATCTTAATGTGAGCAGCTCAAGACGTCCGGATTCAGTTAGGAGATGCTAAGAATGATGCAGGGCACCAATAGTTTTGGGTAGTTTTGTTCCCATGTCCTGCGGGTCTCAATGCAGTGGATTGATGTCCAACGTGGCTGAAATTGGTGCCACCAAACGCGAAATGCTTCAGGTTTTTCAATGTCATTGTTGGCCTCTTCTTCGCGTGTGCTACCTGACTGCACTTACAAAAGGCAAATGAACTTTGCAATATAGTGCAATGTCATGAAGATATGAAAGTATCATGCGATATCTATGTATACAGCTGGTTGCGTCGCGCGTGTTCTTGTTGAGGTCATATACTACATGGAGGGCCAGCAATTTTCGGCACCAGCCTCATGTTTTTTATGGAGCTCAGCGCAGTCAAAGCTACAGTCATAGGAGTTGGTTTCTGCAAGGTAGCCGAAGAGTTTACCCGTCCAACAGTAGATGCCTACAACAATACAGTTCCTTGGCGGGTCGCAGGTGGTCACGGCCGTCCAAGTGGTCGGATTTGGGCCCCTTACAACTCATTGCATGTTCAGAGCACTTTGGCACTCGGAGATCGGTTTTCTGCCATGATTCAAATACTGTTTCCGCGTTAATTTCCGTCGGCTTTGGGTTAAGGTTCCTGCTCCGCACCCTTTTGGTGTCTATGTTCGCACAGACGCGCAGGCGGCAATTCCACCTGAAAATGATGCGTCGACAAATTCACTGAGTTTCAGATGTTTGAATGTTTGTCGCATGGCAGGGCGTGCGCCAGATTGAGACACCCTTCCGTTCCATTCCCATATGTCTCTGGTGGGTATTTACCACGATGACTACAGTTGGTGCCATGCTTGCAGATTGGTGTCATGATGATGTCAATGATGTCATTACATTACATCTTCATCAGTTCTTTTGAGCAAGAGAAGCGATAGTGGCAGCGTGTCAAAGCTCTCTAGACCCAAAGATGATGGGCGATTGGCTCACCTGCAACTAAGGATATGGCGATATGGTTCCAACTACACCTTTAGGTGGGAGCGAACAGAAGAAATTTTGCCTCAGATTCCTGGTAGAAGTCATGAATAGTCAATTGCTTTACATGTTTTACTGGAGACCACATGCGGGAAATCTATGGTAATATGAGGTAGCAGCTATGAATTGTCATGTTTGCCAGAGCCCCTGCTGAGCATCCAAGAGCCCTGAAATACGAGGGCCTGAATGGGCTTGACTTTTCCCAGACTTTAAGTACCAATCAAAGTTATAAATGTATGCTGAGGATTGTTCGTGACTTTGTGGAAATGTCATGAAATGTCATGGAGCGCTTTGATAGGACTTGCAAGTGGAGGGAGTAGGCCCTTAGGCGACAAATGCTGGGTCCAAATGGTCCAAATGGTCCAAGTCAGTCACGAAGTCACGAGGCAAAGTTGTTGGCGTAATCTGCTTCTACTGTGGCGTGCCTTCCCCAGATATCCCAGACCCAGATCTTGTGGCTTTCTGGGTGCCACCGGCAGATGGCAGCCATGAAATGCCATAGAATTTTCACCATCTAAAGTCTCAAGCAGAAGAAAGGCATGGCTAGATTGTTAGGCATATAGGGGCCTGCTGCCTGGGCAAACATAAGCCATAAGCACAATATGTGGGAATATTTGGGAGCATCATGTAGCAGCACTTGTTTGAAGACCAAGGTGATTCTTCTTGCCTTGCCAATTGGTGTTCTAAGCTTCTCAGCTGCAACTGGTGCTTTTCCAGGCCATGTAATTATTTTCATGATGGCTTTTCAGACCAGATCATGTGGCTCAAAGTCACGCGCAGTTGGACATTGGTTGAAAAACAAATGAATGGCCGACAATGACGTGCTCGATTCCTCACTCTGCAAGTCCACGTGTGTGACTTTGAAAGGGCATGAGACGTTACGTTGTAAAAACAACGTGACGCTACAAGCATGTGCTCCCGAATTCCCGCAGCACAAAGGCACCAACTTCGAGCAAGCATATGCAAAGAATAACGGGAATCCTAGCTGCATGAAGGTTCTTGCACTTGGTACTATACGGTACCTGGTTCTGATCATCATGATACATCATGTCATCTCCAGGTGACCGTTATTTGAGCCTTTCAATGTTTCAATCTGTAGTATGCCATGCTTGGGAAATCGCGTAAGATTTCGCCTGAGGAAGGACTCCATTCAGAATCTGGTGCTTTCGCTCCACCGCAGGACATCTACCACTGTACAAGTGTGCCTTGCAGCCTCAACGAAAACAAGAAACACCCAGAAAAGATCAGAAAACCTAAGCTCCCCGTACAAGTTCGATATGTAATTGCGAACAGCAAAAATGTCGAAATCAATACAGAACATGATGAGCCAGAATTTCGACAGTGATGGCATCCTGCCAGCATGCGAGTGGCGGTTCTATTCCTGTCCCGGTTCCACTTCAAGTGAGGGTTTTGCACCAGGCAGAGAGGCTGAACATGGCAGGGCGTGTCGAAAATTTCTTGCTCCCCAACTCAGAGTGACTTTACAAAAGCTCGCTGTCCAAGATTCGCCAGCTAAGGGGACAGCGGAGGGCTGCTAGCCTGCATTGGCTCCTGACTGTGTGTGTGTGTGCAAGTATGAGATGCATGATTTCTCTCTTTATTGTATATCAATGTATGTATGAAGGCATGCCTGCCTGCCTGCCTGCCTGCCTGCCTACGTCCGTACGTACGTACATACCTATGTCCAGCCCTAGCTGCCCTAGCTAAACCTTAAGTTACGGATGATGACTGAGAGAGGGAGAGAGAGCGAGAGGGAGACCTATCTTAATATATTTATAAATATTGCATATGATTCATAATAAATGACATGCTTATGTACATGCACCCAATACCGAGAAACACGTGTCGATCAGTTTGCATTTGTTAAGATGCTTGCACATGTGAACTGGATGGAACTGGGGGCATCAAACGCATACCGGGCATACCGCATAGCAGTTGTTAACAGACAAGACGGCAGGATGCCCCACAGTGAGACAAATCAATGCGTGAAGTCTGGACATGTCTGGACTGCTCGTGATCTAAGTCAACTGGATGGCTACCACAGACAGACGCGTGGAGTGTCATGACGCTTGGTCTGGGAACAACGTGGTGTGGAGACACGTGGGGACCTGGCATTTGTTGCATTTGTCATGAGATGTCATGAGTTTGTTCCCAGTGGGGAGTTCCAGGCAGCAGATCCGGCTGAGGATTTTTGCACTTCTTAGCGACGCCAGCTCAAGCAAAGGAGCTAAAGCTGATCCTTGACAAGATTTGACACCAGTCATGGAATGCCCATGTCACGACATGTCATGGCAATGGTGGCTTTTGATGGGTTCAGTTCCAATATCAACCTGGGAGGGCAGGGATTGGCAGAGCCTCAGGGTAGCAAGAAGCTTCAACCCAGGTATCTTGGTTCGTTACGGTGCTCATACTTGTCACTACCGTCGCTTGGAGTGCATGATGTGAAGGTTCAACACATCGACCTGGTATAACATGTTTGTTGAACAATGTTTCAATGTTTCTGGTTGCCTTGCCGTTGACTTTTTAAAAACGAGGCTGTAGAAGTGGCCCTGAGGTTTCAATGCTGTTGGAGTCGCTGCCCGCGTTCAATTCAATTCCAGCCGGTTGCAAGCCATGGCCAGAGACACTCGGTTCTGGACTTGGGACTGGTCACTAGCCGCCCATGAGATCTTTGAGATCCTTGAGATCCTTGAGTTTCTGGTTGATCTGGTTGTTTCCAGGCACGATCAAAATTCACCTGGCACAACAAGAAAGCTGTTGCGGTTTCTAGTAGAATCTAGAGAAAGTCCCCGCTGATCAAGTTCCAGTCCGTCTTCTTTATCTTCTTTCACACCTGTTCGAATTGTCGGTTTTTCGCATCATTTCAACCGAGTTCCACCTGTTTCACCCAAACTTTGCTGAGGATTACCTATGACAGTTGCCGTCCTCGCCCAGGCGGGGACACATGATTCTTGGTCTCCAATTGGCGATATGCGGATATATGCTGTCCATATACATACGTATACCATATTTATACCATCATATACCAATATATTATGCATACATATTGACATATGTGCATACATATGTCATATGTCGGTATACATAATCCGTGTGTATATATATATACATATCCATGGATTTTATTGTATTGAATCGCATTCATGCAGCAGTGTTCTGAAGCTGACGCAGACCTCCTGAGAGGCATTGCCTTCGAGTACATAGAGGCAGTTTGCATTGGTTTCTTTACTGTGGAGTATGTTTCTTGGATGCATATACGGTATTCTGAAACAATGAAGTGGCACAACCTTGAACATCAATCCTCATGGATAATGAGGTTCTGCGAATCCTGCTGGCACGGGGTCCTAGATGTGAAGTTCCGCGCTGTTTTTTAGGGAAATATGTTGAAATCACCTTAGGCATGGCAGCATTTTTTGGCTTCAGTGATTGGTCAAAATATGATCCAAAATATCAGCATCATATCAGATATTACCATAATGCATAATGTCTATATATGAATATGATATTCATATCCTATTCTGTTTAGATTATCGATCTCACCCAGTGGTTTGGATTTCCTTCTGCTCTTTGACACTTTGAACACTGAGTGTTCGCTTTGGATGTCTCCGGGTTGTCCCAGACCCAAAAGCAGATGCACGGCCGGAGACAATTTATTGCCAGTGAAACTATTCATGGATATTATCAAATAGATGTGCATACCAGCACAAGCCATATACATGGTATTTTGTTCGCTTGCTTGGCGATGGTTCTTGAACTAGGTGCACCGAGTGTCGTGGCAAGAAATTGGCTTACCCTCCAAGGCAGGGCAGTGATGCACCTGATAGCAATTCATCTTGATTGTCTTTGAAACATGTTTCGATGCTTCACTGCTGTGAAAATGTTTTGGCTTCGAATTGTCCGATCTGCTTTGATTCTGAGGTTGGCCCACTGACAAAGACGTGGAAGTATGCAGCTTGCTCGCACGTTTTGAATCGAATAGTGAATAGCGTTCTATTCGCACATCCTTCCAGGCTGCAGTATCAGCGCAGTACCCTTGCAAAGACATTTCAAGAGGCAAACTCAGCGAATCTGGAAATGCTGGGCAGATGAGACGCTGACGCTGACAGAGTCAGCACGTGAGGCTACGCAGTGGTTGAATTTGGTGGACTTTCTTGCCATTGCACCCTACTATGTGTCTCTCAGATGCTTGGCGGTATTACATGGGACTTTTCGTGGTGGGTCATTTTAGTTTCAATATAGTCATTAATATAATATGGGGGGTCCATAAATGGTGGTACCCCAAAATGGATGATGGTTTAAAATGGGGAATCCTATTAAGTTCTGTTGTTTTTCTATGAACGTTCTCTCTTTTTTCTCTCTTTGTGCCTCTCCTTTGCACGATCGTTTCAGAGTCGGCCCTCCCTGTCAATTCTTTAGCAGCAAAAAAGGTGGCCTCTACGAGGGGAGTACCGGCGCCCTGCGAGTCCTTCGGTTGGTGAGAGTGTTTCTTGGCCGCCAAATCGCTGAATGATGTCCAAATGGGATCCTGGAGCATTGGAGCATTGTCAGGTTCCGCTTACTAAAATCTCCAAAGTTGAGAGATGGTCGTGGCCTCAAACCGCTAGACTACATTGCACTTGTTCATACTTGTTCTCTCATTGGATGAATTTTGGAAGTTCCTCACTTCACTCCATAGAGACTTTGGAGCTCTTGTGTGGCATGAGTGCATGAGCCTCAAACTCATGCTATTAAACTGCTATTATATGCTATTTGTGTTTGTCTCGCAGGCGTGGACATGGTCATCAGCGTTGTCGGGCACTGCGACTGCATTTAAGACATTTAAGTTGCACTGCGATCATTTAAGGCATTTAAGCAGTTGCAGGGACGATGGTTGGATCATGTTGGATGAGCCTAGCTGCTATAGCTTGCAAGCTGCTTGCAGTCGGCATAGTCGGCTGACCAGCCCGGACAATCTCATGAGAATCGGGATGAATCGTGTGAGACCAGCGTGTACTTCCGGAAGCCCATTTGCAATGAAACATATGAAAAAAAAAATATATATATATATATATGAAATATATGAAATAGGTGTTGTCATTTGCTTTCATTCAGTCGTATCACAGATTTGTGTCAGGATTGCATGCACCTTGAATTTGCAAAATAGATGTAGCATATGTAGCATCGCATCTGAGGGAATCCTTGCCTGGGATTCTGTCCGTGTTCTCTTTGACCAGCATCGTGTGCATTCTCTTTTCCTCCTGCCTTTGGATTGCAGAAGGGACGTCTCCTGGCAGATCTTGAGGCAAGCAAAATAAGCAAATAGGGCACACGTTGTATGATTCTGTATGATGTTATGGGCCTGCAAGCCAAGTTCAACCTGATCCAGTTTGGAAGCTGCCAAGCAACATCAGTTTGACCACATAGTCACATAGAGGAGACAAAATGTGACTGGGAAAGCTGCGGCAAAGTCGGCCTCGACTTAGGGACTACTCTGTGACCTACAAACCGGATCTGTATCCTCGGGGTGTTTACGTCAGGCCACAGAGGCTTGGCTGGACCTTGGTGGACCTTGCTGGACCTTGACATCCCCTGACATCCCCTGAGATCCCCTGACTTGACTTGACTACGGAGCTAAGGAAGCATGGCTACGGAAACTTGGCACCGGTGGATGGTGAATGATGGATATGATGGTGAATGATGGTGATGTGATATGGTGGATACTGGTGGATACTGGTGGATGACTGGAACCGCTGGATCCAGAATGCTCCAACCAAAGCTGCTCAGATTTGTTCCACTAGGCCAGACAAACACAAACAGTGCCACGGTAGGCCTATGTGAGCCATCGCAAGCCCATTTCTTATCCACTAGTCGTTTATTCCAAAATCTGTGTTTCCCACAATCTGAATCACAGAAGCCCGGAAATGACAGAGATTCTGCACACTCACGTGGCCTACACGACGCATCATTGTGGTCTCCTAGGACAGGAGCCAACACCCTTCACATCCATCAGCCATTGCTTTTGGTGGTTTTTCGTGACAGCCACTGCCTTAGAATCACCTCATGCATCCTGATGGTAAGTGCTGAGTGACGACTTACACCGAGGCAACAACTGTGGGATACGGTGCCTTGATCGCAGATAGCCAGTGTGGGCAGTGTGGGTTTGGCTTCGCCATGTCTCGCAACCGCATTCTCCCAGGGGACGAGTTCCCAACGACTACTCTGGGCAGAGTCACAGCAGTCGGCACTTTTTATGCCAAGACCTCAGACATAGCGCGCACGGGTTACTGGCGGACTGTCATCAGATGAGATCGATCCCAAGCTTTCAAGTCACTGATTCAGATTCGTCAAGTCAGCTGAACTCTTCGGTTTTGAGTTCAAACTACTGCCTTTCTTTGAGCCCGCGTATCTGTTCAATATGCCACATGGGAGAGTATAATAACCCGGCACCTATTCGTTTAGTATGCCATGATCCCCCATTAGCTTATGTAGTTCTCACTCGAGAAAACGATAAGAGGAAAAAAAACGATAACGATGCTCATACATATACATTATATATTGTTTATGGGACATGTTCGAAGCAGCAAGCTTTGCAGATGCAAGCTTTTCCCCGAAAAACAGATGTGAAGCTGGTGGTTGTAAGGTGATATCCCACAAAGAAAACACAATATGAATTGTTTCACGAGGGTGTGAAGCCAGCACTTGGAAAAACGATAAGAGGAAGAAAAAAAACGATAACGCGTGGAAACACCAATTGATTGATATCGGGGTTTTTAGACAGCCCCACATGCATCTTGGGGAAACGAAACCATGCAGCATCCAATTATAAACTGGCATCAAATGATGTAAGACGTAGTGGACTGTCCCAACTTTTGGGCACAGGCTGGCATCGTTTTAGTGGCGATCGAGCTCACCATTGTAGGCGCAGAGCAGACATGTGAAGCGAAGTCACAAGTGCTGGACAGATGTGGAATCACGTGAACATCATTTTGGCATAGTTTGGCATAGTTTGGCTACTCAATGCTATTGATATTTTTGACTAAAGACCTGAACCCACAAAGTAAACAGGCTCTTGTGTGGCCCATTTCACAACCCTCGCTCAGGCAGAGCCTTAAAGCAAAGCCTTCCCCAGTGGAGCGGCCAGGCTGGGCAACGGCCTACTAAGCCTACTATGTTCTACTTAACTTATGTATACTTATGTTATTCAATATTTGTCATGTCATGTTATACTATTTTATCTATTTTATGTCATTTCATGCTGCCATAGTTTTGGAAACGTTTGGCACATTCAAACGTGGAAATTCCCATTGCTTGGTGCAGTGCCGGATGAGGTCAGCAGCAAGCGTTGACGTGGCAGGCACCTCAGTCTGTTCTACAGCTCGTAATCCACTTGGGACATTGTGACAAGAGCCAAGCCCAGAATTTCAACAAGCATATTGATGATTCATGGGTTCTGACTGTGGATGAAGGCACATGTTGTATTCCAGCAAAGGATGACCCGGGCCCGAGCCCTCCTTTGCCCTCTTCACTTGCTGCATCAAGGCAAGTGCCGGGCGAAGCCTACAACTCTGGAAGCGGCCTTTGCTATGTAACTGGTGTACAGATGTGTACATTATCCGTACATATGGGTACATTCTCAGGATGGCAAATCAGATTTCAAATCATCGAATTCAGATGCAATGAACAACTTTAATGACCTGGCATGGCCAGTCTGGAAGAAGATTAAACAAAAATTGAAGTCCTACGAAGTCAAAGCCAAGGAGGCAATGCCAGGAGTTTCAGATTCAGAGACCCTTAGGGTCGTCTGAAGCACGCAAAGCGTGGCAGGCTGACCTGCAAAGCAGAACTTCCAGTGTTGTTGGAACATCATGTTGGAAGGAATGGCGAATGTTGAAAGATGATGAAAGCTGATGAAAGTATACGAGTTTCACAGGTCTTACGGTCTTGAATCAGAGATTTGCTTTGCGGCATGGTCCAAGGGCTCAGGATTTAGGCATTGTGCCTTCATCCTTTGCTTCCCGGCATAAAAGATCGAGCTTGCGGCGTGGTCCCATTAGATACCTGGTCAGATACCGACAGACATCAACAATGCCAAGGCCCAAATCGAAATTGCAGGGCCAAGACAGCAACAGTTCCACAATGGGTTCAAATGAATCAAGGCACCATAAGGCACCCACGTTGATTATTATACAGTTTTCCGAAATTAGGTGGTAGAATATGGTAGATAGTGACACTTGATTGAGGCCTGTGATCAATCAGCACCTGCAGTCTTAGCCCTGTGCTTTGCAAAGATACAGAACGTCAAGACTCTTGCCACGCCGCCGAATGCCAGGAGCTGGCCAGAGAGGACCAGGCCGCTCTGCGATTGTTGAAGAAGTTTGGTGCATGTTGTGATGCAGCCAGAACATCCCCTTTCAGCCTCTCAATACCAGTTCATTTTTTTGCCCATGTCACTGATCCCTGGGCTTCGTATTGGCTCACCAGATGTGTTGACTCCTTGGATGCGATTCAGCTCCATCGATCCATTGATGTTCTGTTCCAGAACATCTTTTTGAGCAGTTTTGAATACTTCCGTACGACACGGCTTCTATTCTGCTTCTATTTGTATCTATTTGTGTCTTTCCTATGTATCGGAAACAAAGGGGAAGAAAAACAAAACGGGAAAAAATAGTTGGAGTTGCGAGCTCCCCTCAGATATGTTATTGACATTTATTGACTGTATTTCCCTTGACAATCCCTGACATCAATAAGAAAGCCAGGGAAAACCCTCTGACTGTTCTTTTGATCTGAGAAGGAGCTGCTCACCAGAGGCGAGCCAGTGACTGTGGAGCCGCTTGCCTCACGCCTGGGTGCGCAGCTTAAAGTTGAAATCTTTGAACATCAGCATTTTCCAAATACATCTAAATACATCAAAATACAAAATACTTACAAATATACGTATGTCATATGTATTTATATATATATGTGTGTGTGTGTGTCCGTGTGTATATGTAAATATGTATGTATGAGGGCGAAAACCCTAGAGAGCCGCAGTTGGACCGATGCTTTTACGGCTTGACATGGCTTGACGATGACCGAGCTCATGTGTTGCAGCACACTTAACAACGAATTCCCGGCTACCTCACACGTCAGTCCCGCAGTTGCGGAAGAAACGACTCAACTGGCGCTTTGTCGACAGGGTTATCATACGGCCATCTCCAAATACGTCCAAACAAACGGAACAATCGGCTTGTCCCCGAACCGAGTGGTTGTCCCCGAGCCAACTAGTGCCAGCGCTGATTAAACCTGCATCAGCTGCACAGAAAAGTCAGACAAGTCCTGTCACCTACAAGATATTTCCAGTTGGTTTCATGCAATCAGCCGACCCACTCCCTGCTCTAGTTTTCGGAGCTATTCCCACACCTCAGCTACGACTTTTGCATGCGCGCTCGTGTGCATCCTCACTTTCCAATTGCAAATTGTGAGGTGATCGTGGGTCCAATAACATTGGATGTTACAGTTTATGAGGACAAACATGTTTGTCGGTTTTCTCGGCCATGATGATGATGATGATGATCATCATCATCATCATCATCTTCATCATCTTCGTCATCATCAACAACAGCAACAACCACAACCAACAACCAACGGCCAAAAGCCAACAACCAGCAACAGCAGCAACAGCAACAACAACAAAAACAAACAGGCAAACAAACAAACAAACAAACAAACCAACAAACCAACAAGCCAACAAGCCAACAAGCCAACAAGCCAACAAGCCAACAAGCCAACAAACCAACAAACCAACAAATCAACAAACCAACAAACCAACAAACCAACAAACCAACAAACCAACAAACCAACAAACCAACAAACCAACAAACCAACAAGCCAACAAGCCAACAAGCCAACAAACCAACAAACCAACAAACCAACAAACCAACAAACCAACAAACCAACAAACCAACCAACAAACAAACAAACAAACAAACAAACACCACAACAACAACACCAACAACCAACAACAACCAACAACCACCAACAACCACCAACAACCACCAACAACAACCAACAACCACCAACAACAACCAACAACAACCAACAACAACCAACAACAACCAACAACGACCAACAACGACCAACAACGACCAACAACGACCAACAACGACCAACAACGACCAACAACGACCAACAGCGACCAACAGCGACCAACAGCGACCAACAGCGACCAACAGCGACCAACAGCGACCAACAGCGACCAACAGCGACCAACAGCGACCAACAACGACCAACAACGACCAACAACGACCAACAACGACCAACAACGACCACAAACAACGAACAACAACCAGCAACAGCGACAGCAACCGCAAACAACAACAGCCACAACAACAGCCACAACAACAGCCACAACAGCAGCCACAACAACAGCCACAAGAAACAAAGCTACAAACACAACGACATCAACAACGAGGACCATTGTCAGCAGGAGGGGGGAGGAGACGAGGATGACTCTGGCAATCACAATGACAACATTGATGTCCGGGAGATGTGGGCCATGCCAACCAGATGAGCACAGGGATGCTTGGCCAAAGACATCCGGCAGGTCAAAGTCCTACCAAGAGCACCGGTAAAAGTACTCCGACCTCAGCCGCAGCAGCCAGGAGGAGATCCCGTGTGAGCTGTGAAACTTTTGGAAATGGTGGGTGAATGTGGATGACATGTGAAATGGTGTGAAACATGAACAAATCCGAAGGGAAGCTATGCACCTGATGGGTTGATGCCAAGTGGTATGCCATATGGCATATGGCTTTTGCTTGATCAATGGGAATTTCAGGACCCTAAACTAGAGGTACAGTACCATATAAGGCCATATTATGTGGGGATATTGCCTTACATAACCCTTACATAGATCAGTACCTCTGATTTAGGTACCTGAAATATGCCTTGACCCGAGATGCGGCAATGGCATTGAAATGCGCAGCTATGGCAGGAAGCGTTTGGCTGCAGAGCGAGCAGGCCTTTCTGCAGAATTTACACATCCATAAAGGATGAAGTGTAACAAGCTGACGATGGGTCACACGGGCATCGCGCAACGCTGGCCTTTCTCGAAGTAGCAATCACTGAGTGGAAACACCAGGTCGTTTTGACGATAGTGATGAGTCAGGGACTCAGTCTGTTCGAAGTCATTTGGCTTAGCTGTTTACCCTCTGGTAAACAAACATAACTATGGAAAATCACAATTTTTGATGGTTAATTCAACTATAAATGGCAATTTTCAATAGCTTTTTGTATGTTTACCAGAGGGTAAAAGATGTAGAACGATAATCCGCATGGAGAAACAGCGCTGAGCAAAGGTGGCTATGATCCAGTCATCCATTGCACCCAAAAGGCCTTCGGCATGCTTTAGCCAGTCATTGTTTGCGCAAGCACACACTTTCCTTTGCACTCAGAGCCAAAACTCCATGGGACATGTTCAACTGTGCAATACCTCACGTTTGGAATCCTACAACCTGCTCCAACATGCTCCAACATGCTCCAACATGCTCCAACCTTGCCAGGGCGCGGCATCACAAAGTGATTGATTGGTCAATGATAACTTTGCTTCGCTTTGCAGCAGATCTTACAGCTGCCCCAGCAACTTTCATCCTCATTTTTTCAAGCCCTGGTCAGCCAGCGGCTGCTTCATACTGTGACAGCCTGTGCCCTATGGCCCTGTGGCCCTAAGAATTGACTTTCTGTATGCCATTGCATTTTCATATTGGAACAGAAATTGCAACCTGAATTCTTGGTGTTTCGGACAACCCCAAGAAGCCTGAATAAAAAACTGGTCTATTTTTCTATAATTTTCTCAAGTTGTTCCATAGTGGAATACATAATAATACATATTGGGCCAAATAAATCAAAAATGTATTGGAAGCGATTCGAATCGACTGTTGGCAAACACGAAAGCCGAGCAAAAGGAATCCAGTCCATCACCTCAGAGAGGATAGCATAGGTTTCAGTGGAAGAAATTCACCATATGTGGGGCGTATTGGAATAAAGATCTGAATCACTTTAAATCAAATGCTACCCCAACATTTGAGTGGCTCTTTATGAGATTTATGCTTAGCTGTTATTAGGTGGGCACCTGAAAGAGTTGTGCAATATTGAAAGGCTTGACGCACAGGGGTTGCTACTAAGTGTCGGGATAAAGTCTTAGAGGGGCTGTGTGCAATCGACATGTTGGCTGAACGTGGGTACGATATGGTACAACAACGTTCGACCGACAAAAATGTAAGCGCTTCCAATGCTCTCCTTTGGCAGCGTTGGTGTTTTTTTCAAGTGGGAGCACCATGCTAGCACTTGGCACCGACGTTGCTGCAAAGGG